ATAATGTAGACTCCAGAATAACTGATGGCCATGTAAATTGCGAAACCAAGTAAGTCATTGTCAACCCGATATTGCGTGAATCCTGTTTCATATCGCAATCATCCTTCAATAGAACAAATTAATGAAAATATTCAATCATTTATCTAATTTGCCATGAAATTTCCAAGTGTCCATCATGTGTCCACAACTACTGACATGAATCCCCACCACCAAAACTTTAGAGTTGCCGGGACTTCACCTCCACTAACCTGTCTGGCACTGCGGTTCCGGTTCACGTAGTGGAAAATTCGGTCAGTGAAAAATGCCCCCAATATGAAGCCGACGAAAAGCAGGGTCACTTCGTTCGCCGTCAGTAGTGTTGGGGACTTGATCGGAAAATGATATTGCAGACCGATGCAGGCAATTTCTATGTCGTTCAGGGACTCACGACTCAGGTTGAGAGGTGGCCCACTCTTATTGACCCAAATAATCACTCGTGTGTTATTCATATTTCCTCGTTAGTTTATTTCGTAACTCTGGTTTGAATCGAGCTTTTATCACAGAAGAAATCTCCAACGACAGTAGGCGTCCGGTTTGCTTCAAAGGCCTTTGGGGAACGAATAGGAATCGCTCTTCTGGAAGTGTATTACATTGGCTGAAAGATTCTTGCGTGTCGATACACCGCAAATTAGGGTGTATACCATTCCGTCTAAACGCAAGTTCGTTCTCCCAATTAGACCTGAAGAGGCCTGTTTAAAAACGGCTGATGAACGCAAATCCATTCAAATTTTCCGTTACCCTGGATACGCACGCATAGAACTGCTGACTTTTTTCCCACACCATGTGAACTTTGATAAATTATGCCATTACCATGAGTACAGGGAACCCCGGGTTTTTTCATTCTACTTAGGGTGGGACAAATAGAACGAAAATTTTTAAGGCGTGGCAGGTTTTATCTTGAAGATTTTCATTTTTACAATAATTTATTAGTTTACGAACACTCACCTGAAATTTAATTCTGCCTATATACCCACTGGACTGCGAAAACTGACTCTTCAAATCCTTTATGCAGAAATTTAGAGTCGAATGGAGTTTGCATACGAGGAAGATCAAATGAGATATGCAGCAGTAAAA